TCTATGGGTGTAGGTACCAGATCTGTTCGGGGTCCGGCACCTTCTTATGACGACATATGGCAACTCCCCTCGAACAAACTGTATTGCATCATTTCTTATGGATCAAACCTCTTTTGGAGTTTCAACAAATTATTACCTATATTTGGTATTATTTTACATTTCATTGGTGATCTAAAGTAGTTGAAAGTATTAAACAATCATTGTCAGTCTTGAAGGAAAGTGCTGTGTTCAAGACTGAGCTCTGCCATTCAACAAGGTGACAAAAAATTCTCAGCTTATTTTTATTCTTTTTATTAAGATCTGAGGGCAGGGGAGGACAAATTGGACATTTTAAAAATTGACTTCCTTAGAGATTTTAGACAATTAAAACAGTTATGCTTCTTGTAAAAAACTAATGGTTGTTGTTGACACAAAGTTAAAAGTAAATCCCTGCTGCAGTGTGTGCAAACCTGGTCAAGATCTACAGGAAACGTCTGATCTCTGTAATTGCAAACAAAGGTTTCTGAACCAAATATTAAGTTTCATTTTTCTGGTGTATCAAATACTTATTTCACACAATAAAATGGAAATTAATTATTTAAAAATCATACATTGTATTTTTCTGGATTTTTGTTTTAGATTCCATCCCTCACAAGTGAAGAGTGCCTATGATAAAAATTACAGTCTTCTACAAGCTTTGCAAGTGGGAAAACCTGAAAAATCAACAGTGTATCAAATACTTGTTCTCCCCACTGTATATACTACTACTGCTTATAAAAAGAATTAACATTTATATCAAATAAATGTTTTTGAAAATCACTTCTCAAAACTTCTGGATCTATCAACAGAAATGATAGCAGATGTCTCACTGTATTCTGAGTCACAACATATCAATGTTGAACACATTTAAGGTGGTGAAACGTATATCCGTGCAGGCTTCCATATCACTCAAGCTGGTCAATGAGGAAGGCTGACACATCTAGAGGATCTAATTGATGTTTTCTTCTGTAGAATCCAATTCTTTGCAGGATTCTTCTCAATGTGTGCATGCTAATACTGATCTCATCCAGTGTGCAGCAGCATCAGTATCTCTCCATGTCCTAGACCGACAATAAAGCAAAACTTGATCAACTCCAATAAACTCGCCATTGTGCTGCTGAGGAGATGACATGCAGAGTGAAAACGTCTCACGATTACCTGGAGTAGTTATCATGTTCAACCAAACATTTACATGGAGTGCCACCTTCAGACACTGACAGACAAGAAATCGCAGTAAAGCGGTGTCCATCTGTTCAGCCATCCTCTCTCCACTTTCTTCAAAAACCTACTTGGAGCACAAAGTTCTTCATCTGAAATGAGTCTCGCGGTTACTACTGAATAAAGCATATAATTATCACGTTGATACAATATAATATTACATTTATATAATATAATTATCATGTTTACACAATAAAATTATCATGTTTATACAATATAATTATCAACTTTATACAATATATTTAGCAAAAATGTATTTTCTCACGTGACAGGATTATGCTTCCGTAAATTCCTCACCATCTGTCTGGATATCCTAACTCTCATTTTGCTGAATATATATATATATATATATATATATATATATATATATATATATATATATATATATATATATATATATATATATATATAGTTATAATACTCCAAACCAGAACAAATTATTGCTAGAAAAAATAACCCTAAACTTCGAACACCTAAGATAACTTTATTTAACCAACAATGTTGTAATTGCTGGAGATCTTAACCTCTTCCAAGATGAATTTTATGATGAATCGCCTTCTAAACATAATTACAGTTATCAAAACAAAATATTTAACAGTTTTTGTAATGAACAAAGTCTAGTAGACGTGTGGCGTCATCTTAATCCCAATTGTGAAGTTTTTTTTTCTTGAAACAGGCAAACATATTCCCAAAGTGGAGGAAGGCCTCAAACAAAAATGTAATAATCCAATAACAATTAAAGAACTTGATGCAGTGATTGGTCGTCTCTCTCTTAACAAAGTCCCCGGATCTGATGGTCTCACAGGAGACTTTTACAGACACTTTTGGACAGATTAAGGAGATCTGCTGCTACAAGGTTTTACTGAAATATTTGAAACCTGTGGGCTTTCACCAACAATGAGACATGGGGTCTGAACAAGGCCGCCACCAGGGGGTGGCCGAGGGTGGCCATGGCCACCCTGGGCAATCCCCTGGCCACCCCACTGGCCCCCCGACTGGCCAGTGTAAATTGTAGTAGCATCGGTTTAGCGTTTCACCCCATTATGCACCCAGCATAGCAGCCACTCTCACTGTCCTTCTCGCACGCCGTAGTGCTCATGCTCTCCCTCTCCCCTACCTGATATTTGCTTGCGCATTCGCAAATGAGCTACTGGTACAGATTGCTCTTGTGCGCTCTGAGAACTACGGCTCAGCCCGTGCCCGCTTTAACGGTGAGAAAGCATATAAAACTAACAGTAAATAAATAAGTCAAATCATTTGTTTTTAAAAGAAAAGGGGATATGTGAACTGTAACATTATACTGCTAAAGCAGCTTTTAGTGTGTTTTTGACATAGTTATGTAGCTAACTGGATGAGTTGGTGATTGTGGATTTCAGACATGAAGAGAAAGTCCACAGACATCTGTTCTGATTTTAAGAAGAGAATTACAGCAGAAGCAGAGAAAGAGATGACAGGGGAGAAACAGATAACCAGTGAGGAGGAGCAGGAGGAGGAGAAGAGAGAGGAGGAGAAGGAGGGGGATGGAGGAGGAGGAGAGAGAAAGAGGAGGAGGAGCAGAAGAGAGATGAGAAGAAGGAGGAGGAGGAGGAGAGAGATAAGGAGGATGGAAGAAGAGGAGAAAGAAATAGGAAGGAGGAGGAGAGAGAGGAGAAGAACGAGGAGGAGGATGATGAGGACCCAGAGCAGCTTTAGTAAAGAACAGTGATGAGGAAAAGCATCAAACAGCAGCAGACCAGGGACAGTCAGCACCTTTGATGACAGAAACATGGCAGAACTCAGTGAAAGCAGGTGTTCCACCTGTTCCTGGACCGGTAGTAATTTTATGTTTTCAAAAAATGAATAAATGTACAACTTATTTCAAATAAAAAAAATAAAACACAACTATTGTTTGACTCAAAATGTTAACTGGTTTATGTCTGTGCACATTAGTAACATTAATAATCACACAATAAGCCAAAGGATATGAGTAGGTGTTTACTTAGATCTTTATGATAGTTTTCCACAGGCAGTTTTACCACAGCAGTAGAATAAAACCCTGAAATTATGTTTTTGTGTTCCACCCCAAGAATTTAAGAGCCCCCATCTGGCCACCCCTATGAAATATTTCTAGAGGCGCCCCTGCGTCTGAATTCCAAAACCTGGGAAAGATCCCAGAATCATAGATGACAGAAGACCCATTATACTAAGAAATTCAGACTTCAAACTTCTAACTTACATCTTCAAGTCTCGTCTCCAAACAGGGATTTTAGATCTAATTGCAGATACACAGTCAGGATTCTTAAAGGGAAGATCAATCCATAATAATAATAGATTGGTAATGGACATCATTGAATATAGAATAGAAGATGATGGTCCCCTTCTCTTTCTAGACTTCTACAAAGCGTTTGACTCCGTGGAGCATCCGTTTATTCTTTCGACTATTAAACACTTTGGATTCGGTGTCAAGTTTAGAGAATTTATCCGTGGACTGTATCGAGATATTAGCAGTTGTGTCCTACGGCGCAGTGGCACCACCCCAAGCTTCAAGGTTAATGTGGGTATTCCTCAGGGCTGCCCCATCTCACCATACCTGTTTATCTGAGCCAAAGAAATGCTAACTATCTATATTAAGAACTGTACTGATATTAAAAAACTTAATGTACTTGGCACAGACATAATCACCCAACTAGGAGATGACAACAATATTCTTGAAAGATAGACACCAAATTTAAAAAAAACTACAGCTAAAGTCAAAAAAGTCTCCAAAGTCTCAGGGCCAACATTAAACCTAAAAAAAGTGTGAATTGCTGGCTGTACATGAGACCCCACTGAAAGACATCTGTAATATCCCTAATGAACCTGAAATTAAATATCTGGGGATACACTTATCCAGAGACCAAAAACGAAGCCAACTTCTGAATGTAGAAACTAAAATAGAAGAATGCAAGTCACGACTAAACTTATGGCTACAGAGGGATTTATCAAGGACGAATCTACCTAGCTAAGATGGAATG